CCCCCCCCCCCCCCCCCCCCCCCCGCCACAACCCCCCAATCGCGCCCATCCACTGCTGCTATTTGTCATTCGTGTTTTTTCAAGACGTCAACATAATTTCTCCCACAGTTTCACAGAGTCGTCCATCATCGAGTCCGACACGACGACCGTCGTGTTCGACACGACGACCGTCGTGTTCGACACGATGACGGTTGCGCGCGGGCGTGTACGCCACGTGCTGAAYATGACCCCACCGTCGTGTTCAATCCGATGATGGTCGTTGTCATCGAGTCGAACACGACCGCGGTGGCACCCCCCGGCCTCACCGTCGGGTTCAACCCGATGAAGGTCGCTGTCATCGTGTCGAGCATGACTGCAGTGGCACCCCGCAACCCCACCATCGTGTTCAACCCAATGACGGTCGCTGTCACCGTGTCGAACACGACCGTGGTGGCACCCGATGACCTCATCGTCGTGTTCTACCCGATGAAGATCGCTGTCATCGTGTCGTGCATGACAGAGGTGGTTGCCCACAACCCAAGAAGTTGTATCAATAAGTTATAGAGAATAAGTTACATATAAAATCAGTTATATTTATTTGTAGAGTTAGATTGATGTATATTTGTTCAATGCGGTGACGGTCGAGTGCGGGCATGTACAGCACGTTCTGAACATGACCCCACCGTAGTGTTCAACCCGCTGACGATCGTTGTCCTCGTGTCAAACACGACCGCGGTGGCACCCCTCGACCCCGCCATCGTGCTCAACCTGTGACGGTCGCTGTCCTCGTGTCGAAAACGACAGCATGTCATCTTCAATACGATGACGCTCGAGCGCGGGCATGTACACCACGTGCTGAACACGACCGCGTCGTCGTGTTCAACACGATGACGGTCACACGACAGAGGTGGCACACCCCGACCCCGCCGTCGTGTTCGATGCGATGACGGTCACTCTCGTAGCCGTCGTGCCGGTGGTAATGTTCAACATGCGACGGTCGAACGCGGACATTATCGCCACCAAAGCAATGTCGCGTTCAACAAGCAGGTGGTCGCTCATCGTCATCTTCTACACGACGGCGGTGGACATGATCGCGCTGTCGTGAGAATACGGTGACAGTGGATCTCGCCGTGTGCGCCTGTCGTGTTGTGCAATGCGATGATGCGCCGTCGTGTTGGGCACGACCGCGGTGGGAGATCATCGCGTTCAACACGACAACCAGTCGCCGTGTCTCTCGTGCATCACTTCTGTTGAAGACTGTACTTTTTCCCGCATTCACGGGCCTTACATCGGTAGTATATGGCTAGCAGTGGCGGCGCTGAACCACATGTGTTGCACTCTACATATACCGCATGTGATCCATCTAGCTGCGGATTTATTACTGATATGTATGTCTTGTGTCAGTGGTCCACTGTTTTGTCATCGCAGAAACGTTTTAAATGGCTTGTGGTGGGCATGCACCGCGGCAAGCTGCCAGCAGAACTTTGGAAAGCATGGACAGTGTGGCATCTAATATATTGCCCAGTAATGAGCTTCCTCCCATGGACTTGCCAATGTTTTCGCAAGACGTTCAAATAACTCCAGAATCTCCTGATCATAAAAGGTCCCGGATGGCTGCATGTGAAGAAACCACATGCGAAAGTGCATCTCCAGCCTTGGGCGGGCCAGTGAAAACCTCTGATGCAGAAGGTTCGGAAGGTCAGGGTAGGGCCGCCTCCGGTGACAGGAACACATCCGATGTAGATCGTATCATGTGGGTGYCGAGAAGTTCGCTACGAGATTTCGAGGGCACARACCTTCTGTTTGGCGAGAGTGATGAAGATGGTTCGGAATCTGGTGCTTCGATGTCATCTGACGCCAACAGTTCTCCAGACAAAATTGATCATCCACAACCTTGCGATGATGATGACACTGACCACTACTGTCGCAACGGTATGGAGAGTTCTGATGTCATCTCTGATTTTGATGACATTTTCCCCAAACGTTTGTCGT